GACCCCAACTGGTTTATGAAGTAAGTGGGCCCAGGGTGCGGGCTCTCTGCCTGGGGTGGCAGGTGTCTTGGGCTAACCAGTCTGTGGGACGCAGACCACCCAGGGACACAGGGGACTAGGGTGGAAAGGCACGGGCCCTCATGCTTCCTGTTCCCTCCCTTCCCACCTTCCTGCGTCTGGCGGCTCTCCTGGCCTGTGAGCGAGTGGGAAGGGCACAGGGAAATGAAGCGGGGAGTGGGACTGAGCCAGGAAACGAGCGGAATCCGAATAGAACAAACTCAAACTCACTGCCGACTCACAGCGGTCCCCCAGGACATGGAAGAACTGGCCCCCGTGGGTTTCCGAGGCTTTAACTGTTCTGAGCCCTGTCCCTCCTCCTGGTGGTTTCAAACTGCTGACCTGCAAGATCACAGCCCAACACATAGCTCCCATGTCGCCAGGGCTCCCAGGAATCAGAAAGCTGGGGGGAAGGGGGAGGGTACACATGGTCCTGACAAGGCTTTATTCTGGTTCCTCCTCTTTCAGGAAGGCCCAGGAGCACAAGAGGGAGTTCACAGAGAGCCAGCTACAGGAGGGCAAGCACGTCATTGGCCTACAGATGGGCAGCAACAGAGGGGCCTCCCAGGCCGGCATGACGGGCTACGGACGACCTCGACAGATCATAAGCTAGAGGGGGGTGGGGGCCGGCCCTGAGCCCTTCCTTCCCCAGCTCCTTGGCTCCAGCCGTCCCGCCTAGCCTGCCTCACTCACACCTGTGTATGCCTGCTGCCCTGGCCAAGCTTTGAGGCCCCTCACTCAGCACAGTGGCTGCACATGGGCAGCTCTTGCCCACTCTTGCCCAGCCCAGCTCCTGACCCTGAAGCACCACAACCCTGGCCAGCCCCTCCCGACTGCCCCTCAAATCTCCCCATCCTGGGCTAAGCAGGGGGCATGGGCTTGGGGTAGCCTAGGTGCGGGCCACGCCCACTGTCTTCCTTGGCAGCAAGTATCCATGGAGAGAGATCCCGCCCAACCCCTCCCCTTTTTTTCCTGGAATATTTTTGGGGTGGAGATTCAAAAAGGGGGGGAAATACATCATCTTTTCTCAAGCCTGTCTCGTGAGTCTGATTTGCGCCCCTCGCTTCCTTCTACTCTGGTTCCAGGAACTGAGCAGGGAACAGGCAGGGCTTCCAGCTGCTCCCCACTGGGACTGGCCTGCCTTCCTCTGAAGATGTCCGGTTTTTCCCCACCCCAGGCGGCCCCGGTTTTTCAGAGAAACCGGGCGGTGAAGGAGAGAGCGGGTCTTGGGGGAAGGAGGGGCGGGAGGGCGACTTGGCTACCTGCTTTAGGTTAGAGGAGGCAGAGGAGAGAATCGCCTGCAGGTCTTTATTTTGGAAAAGCTGTGCAGAAAAAACCCAACAAAATGTTGCTGTGACGCGAGAAACCCAGATCTGAAGCATGAGAAGATTCCAACCGAGCAGTCAGCTCAGAAGAGGGGAGGCTCACAGTCTTTCAGCTGGCCTCCGCGTGGGGAAGGCCATTTCCCTGAGCGCTTTGCAGAAGAAGACAGGTGGTCACAGGCCTGGAGTGGCAGCGGCTTCCGAGGCTCATCTCTGTCACCGGCTCTGCAACCCAACTGTGGACTTCCTCGGTGACACAGCCCGGGCCCAGGCGGCCCTGTCCAGCCCGGCCTGGCTGGAGGCATCGTACCCATCATGCCCCTGCAGGGGGCTGGGCCTCGGAGGGCGGTGCAGCTGCTCTCAGGCCGGTCTGCTGGGCTGAGGGCTAAGAGCCATGCCAGCAAGTGCAACATCCGAGTCGTAGGAAGGCAAGGAAGAGAGGACAGGCCCTCGGACAATCAAGGACAGTAGGTCCAGGGGCTCTTCCCAGCGGCCACCACTGAGCCCTCTTCCCAAGCGACTTCCCAGTTTCTGATGACACGCTCTTCTGGCGGGGTGGACCCTCCATGCCCATGGTGGGTGAGGTCCCCATGCCAACACCTCCCTCCGGTTTGCCCCAGGAGGGGAGCAAGGACAGAGGCCTGCCCCTGGGAACAAGCCCTGGGCACCCAAAGCTGCTGCTGTCCCACGCAGGGCACCCCGGGGCTCTGGCCGGGACTGCTGGTGGGTAGGTGGCCCTCGGCATCCAGATGTGGACAAGCACCAGGACTATTCTCCTGGAGCCCCGGCGAGTCTGGGAGCTCCCCCACATCGGGGAAGGAAGAGCCTGTCCCACGGGGAGGCTGCCGGCCCCGAGCTCAGCACATCTGCTGCTCCTTCCCCTGCAACAGGTGCTGAGGAGGGGCATCCACGGCACACTTCACGTGCTGGGGTGGGCTCCAGTGTACTTGGTCCAGCAGGTCCGGGACAAGGGGGTTCGAGGGGGCAGCAGGGCTCCCGCCCTCTGCTTCTACTTCCCCTGGGTCCTTGCTGGCGCACAGTGGCACCGACTCAAGCTCCGTGCCCTCCTCCCTGGCTTTGCGGCTGCAGTGGGGCCGGGGGCAGGCTCCATGCCTACCCCCGGCGCGAGAGGCCACGCGCTGGTGGCTCAAGCACACTTCTAGCATGTAGTAAGCGGTCCAGAAGATGGTGAAGCAGCCCACCAACACCAGGGTCTGTGGGGAATTCACACGCGAACGACAGGGTTAGGGACACTGAACTCAGACTGTCTTCCTTCCGCAGGGGCTCCCTTCCCCCCTCCCCAAGGATGCCCACTGAGGTAGTAGAGTAAGAACAATGGGACCCGGGTCTTGTCAACCCCGCCTTCCTCAAGTCCCGGAGCCCAACGCCCAGGCCTGAACCTCAGCCAGCCGGCACCTTGAGGGTGTTGGGGGTGATGGTGTAGCCATCCTCCTCTGGAATCTTCAGCCCCGGGGGGCAGGGCAGCGAGAAGCCGTCTTGTAGGTATTTCCCGCTCATGGCCCTTTCTAGCAGCCTGTGGACAAAGACGCCGCCCTGGTGAACAGTGTTCGTTCCCCACGGTCAGTCTGTCCTTGCCGTGCTCCCACCTGAGAGCTGGAGGGAGGGGCGTGCTCTGGGGGAGCCGGGGAGCACAGTCTGGGGTCTCAGGGTGGGCAGTGTCCTAGTGGTCTCCACCTTCCCACCACTGCCCTCTGACACGGGCGGCTTTACCTACCGCTGTCTGTCCCTGATGTCCACTGCACTCCACACAGAGCCAAACAGCGTCAGCTGCCACCGCCACAGGAGGCCGGCCGGGACGGGTTCATCTCCTAGGGCAGCAAGGGTTGTCTCTGAGCCATGCGCCCGTGAGCCAGGATGCCTGCCACAGGGGCTGCTGCAGGCAGCTGTCTTGTTCCCAGCTCCCAGAGGGATGCAGCAGGGGCCCAGGGGGGCCCTTGGGCATGGAGAGGGGCGGGACAGGGTGGGCTGTTTCTAGTGCCCGAGTGAAAAGGTGTGGATTTTTTCCTACTAAGTCAGAGACGAGCGCAGAGCCCCAGCATGGCTCCGGCGAGTGCCAGGCTGGCTGGCGCTCAGATGGTGGGGCCCAACTTCTCACCTCTTCCCCGCCCCGCCCCACCCCGCCCCGGGACGGACTTCATACAGCATAACTGCAAACCCTGGCCTCGGTTTTTCCAAAAGGGATGAACACCAATCCTGCCCTCACCTGCCTCCCGGGGTTATGTGAGCGGCCTGGAGATGTGGGTTCAGTTGGGCATTTGTATTTTTATTTTATTTTTTGGTTAGGCATTTTTAGTTGCTATCCCGAGGGAAAGACAGGCCAGTCGCTTCCCCACGGAATATGTGGGAGGGGGCGTCAGTGAACGGTTGCAGAGATCAGCGCCTGTGTTTTGGACGGGCCCATTTCTTGGCATTGATCCTCTGCCTCCAACATGGGCACTGGGTCTTTAGACCTAGCATGACGGACAGCACCGGTGCCAGGCTCACCTATGTCCCTGATCACCAGTCTGTAGGTCCCTCTCGCGCTCTCCCCCCAGCATCGCACAGTGGAGAAGGTCCAGTCGTTGAAGCCGTTGGGGTCCCTGGCAGAGAGCAATGAGCAGACCTTGGTTGGCGTGGGTGCTTTTCCCACTGTAGCCGCCACCACACGTGGCAGGCGCTGCCTGAGCCAGGAGGGTCGCCCACGTGCGGTCCCTGGGCTTACACTGACTGCAGAGGCACCCAAAGCTCTCTGTCCTCGGCCCCTCACTTGTGCAAGGAGGTGTAAAGTCTCCTCCCCGGGGTTCCCACACTGACGTGCCCTGGCTGGCAGCGTGGAGGCCCCACGCTGGCCATAAATGCCTTCCAGCTACCCAGGAAGTGGTGGCGCCACGGCTGCTCAGGGCAGTACCAGTAGCCAGTCTCCTGGGAGAGGCCTCGCCGTGCAGGGGCACTTACGAGTCCATGCTGCGGGGGGCGCCGATCAGGGACATCATCCCACTGGGGCAGAAGAGTTTCAGCTCCAGGCTGCCGCGCCGCGGGTGGGTGGCAAACACCGTCACAGCCACGTGCTCCAGCGTCTTCAGGCCCGACAGCTCCAGGTCCGTCCTGCTGACTGTGGGGAGGCAGGCTGGGCAGCTGGGAAACCGGCCCCACAGTCATGCATGCCCTCACTCCACCCCCCCAACGCCCCGCCACCACGGTGTGCACGCACACACATATTGCCACGGCAACCCAGGCATTTCCCCAGGGAAACCGGTACCTGGCACCGGGAAATGGAAGGCAGTGGTTCTCAAGGAGTTTGCGAGAGAACACATCTGCCCAGGACATAATGCACGAAGCAGAGGGAGCGAAGCTAATCACTCGTTCACCCGAAAAAGAATCTCTACCTTCTGCTTTCCTGGCACCGCACTACGTGTTAGGAGAAAAAGCAGTGGATGACCACTGGGAGGGGAGAACACGTGGTACGGCGCAGACACCATGGACAGGCAAACAGAAATGTCAGGTGGCTCAGGCGCGAGTCTCGGCAGAAAAGCCTGGTGGAGGTGTCTAGGGTGGTGGCCGCTGTCTCACACAGCAAAGGTAGAAGGGGACACGTCGCATACGGAAGACGATACAACGTTCATGTTTTGTCCTGATTTTAATGACTGAAGTGGGTCAGTCACGGGAAGCTGAGCAGAGTGGAAGAAGTCAATCTCAAAAAGATACGTAGATGCCATCCCACTAATGGAGCCACGAGACCGAGGGAGAGGGCTGTTGCGACGAAGAGAGAGCTCTGTCTCCTGTGGGGTGGGGTGACGCCAGGCTACGTGTGTGACGACAAGTGAGCCTGTGGGCGACAGGGCAGCTGCATAAATCCCGTGTCAGTTTCTCAGCTTCACCACAGGACTGCGGTTGTGGGAGACACGAGCAGTGACCCTGGGAGAAGCTGGGGAGACGGTGCACCCTGCTCGGCAGCCCCGTGAATGCACCCTTATTTCAATATTCTATGATTTCAAAACAGAGCGTTAACGAAATCCTGCTAGGGTGGAAGGTTCAGTGGGGGACATTAGGGAAGTGGGTTCTCAGGCTAAACACTTCTTTCTCAAATGCCTTTCCTTCCAGCAGTCCGGGCAGAGGACCACATTGCCGTTTTACCGAGGACAACGCGTGCAGAAGAGCCAGGGCTCTGAAACACTGACTTTAAGCAGCTCTCAGTTGAGAGTTATTCAAGTGGAATTAAAAAAAGAAAGTGTTCGTGGAAGGTTACTTTCAACAGCTTGTCAACTCACTGCCACGGCGTCGAAGCCGACTCATAGTGGCCCTCTCGGACAGAGATCTGCCCCGGCGTCTCCGAGGCTGCCACTCTTTACCAGAATAGAAGAGGCCTCATCTTCCTCCTGAGGAGCAGCTGGTGGTCTCAAACTGCTGACCTTGCTGTTAGCAGCCCAACACATCACCACTACGCCACCAGGGATCCTTAACAGCTTAAGGGAAGGATGGAGGAATTAGTGGGGAAGAACCCAGTGGGTGACCAGGAGACCAGCTACATTCTGGGGTGAGGAAAGGGGAGCTGGGTAACCAGGACTGGAAGAGGAAGGGGAGTGAAGGGCCCAGGCTTGCCTTCCCTTCCCTTCTTTCCTAACTCTCTGACCTTTGTGCTCGGTCAAAGCCGCCCCTCTGATCTCTCGTCCGAGGCGTGTGTACCTCCCTAGTGTTACCATCTCCCTCAAGGATCTATTCTCTGGCTGAAATTTGAGCCACATGACTGAATTAATGAGTTCTAGACCCAAAGGGTGGTCTCTGGGGCTTCCAGCTTTCTACTCTACCACTCTGCTCTCCCTAGTCCCTGTCCCTGCTCAGTCCCGGCCTCCCAATGTTGCCCATGTCCCTGAGGCCCACATACCCGGAGTGCCAATGCCATCCCCTGCTGGTCACCACCTCCCGACCACACCCTAGACGGAGTCTTTCTTACTGTGTAAGTAATATAACGGACTGAAGGCAAATTAGAGAAGTAGATGAGCCAAAGGTTAATAAAGCAAAACAAGACCAAAGTACTAACAGCCCGGAGCTGATATCCTAGTTATCTAGCGCTCAGCTCACCTCCTGCTTCGACTTTCAGGCAAATGATACAGGCCTGTAAAAACGCCACTGCTGACTCACAGTGACAGGCCCCCTCACCCCCGACTCTAATTCTTTGGCACCTCGTCTTGCTCCCAAAAAGCAGCTGGTGGTTTTGAACTGCTACCTTGCAATTAGCAGCGCAGCACGCAGTGTATTCAGTCACATTTATCACAGTTCTTCCCAAATGGCGCCACAGAACCACACCACCTTCCTGAAAACCATTTTCTTCCCGAGTGAACCCACAAGGACAGGGGTTCCTGCAATGACATTCCCCCTGGGGACTGAAGCTCTGGAATGGTCTGTCCCACTGCTCTCTGGGGGCCTTCTCCCCTGTCCCTGGGGCTCACTGCATGCAGGCTCTCCCCTTTCACCTTCTCGTGACTCCGCCTTTGCCCGTCCAGCAGGTTTCTGGAGATAGCTTGCTTTTCGAAACAGCCTCAGTCCAGCTCCACATTTGAGTGCTGGGCTGGGTACAGCTTTATTGCTTCAAAGGACTTTTCTCCAGAATTACGAAGCTATTTGGAAGAGTGTTAGTGTTTTCCAGCCAGGGCGTAGTTCCCTCCAACCATGGAAGCCCGACCTGGGGTAAGCTCTCCCCGCGCGGGGCCTGGCCACCTCACTGGAGAAACTCCACTCACAGGTCTCTCGTCCTGCCCGGAGGGGCGGGATAAGCCCTGCTGCTGATGCCCTGGCCCTGGGTGCCTGGCTTAGGAGGGTCTGCTGCTCTGGCAGGAGTGCCTGCCTCCTGCTGTCTGCAGTTCCTGACTCTGGAGAAGAAGCTTCTTGGTTCAAACCTTCCAGATGCTTCCCAGGAGGAAAATGAGACTTCCAGTTCTTTACAGATTCGCAGCCTCAGAAGTGCTGGGGAGAGACCTGTGACTGCAGTCCAGTACAGCGGCGGGCAGGGTGCTGGGTGCTTTCTCTTGCCAGCAGGAGGAACCATGTGGCTGCCGGGGACGGGAGAGGGTGCCTGGCCTGGGGGCTGACCCTATTTTCAGCCTCACCCTCTTCTTCTGTCTTTGGCCTCCACATGCTGGAGAAGGGGACCGTCCATTACTACCTAGAGCAGTGGTTCTCCACCCTCCTAACGCCTCGGCCCTTTTGTACAGGTCCTCCTGTGGTGGTGACCCCTCCCCCCAACCATAACATTATTTTCGTTGCTACTTCATCACCTTCATTTTGCTACTGCTATGAGTCGGGCAACCCCTGTGAAAGGGTCGTTTGACCCTGAAGGGGTCTCGACCCACAGGTTGAGAACCGTTGAACTATAGGCACTTAATAGTTTGAATGCAGAGGAAGGGTAAACAAATAAATACAATTTAAAATGATGCTGGTTGTACGTGGCGTTTTACCTGCCTTAAAACAATCAAACAATCTGGCTCTCTGCTGAAATGGAAGTCTTGCACACAGTGAAACAACACCAAATACCAACAGCACGCAGTTTGACCTGGCAAAGAGCTGGGGAGGACCCCCGTGCTCACCAACAGGAGAAAGAACGGTTTTACATGTGTGCACGGCAGGGAGGCTGGGGGGATGGGGAGCCAGCAACAAGGAGTACGAGAAGCGAAACTGATCCCTGCATGGGGACTGAAGGGTTCAGTCCTGTGATGGGACTATGCCCACGTGGCAGGAGCGCCGTGGCAGGGCGCTATGGGGCAGGGGAAGGAAGACTACTCTGCTGGAGGTCTCTGCGAGACCTAGTGGCGCTCTGTGTCTTTGTCGTCTTCGCTCCCGTGCGGCCACGCTCCGGGGCTCTCTCCCAGGCTGCGTCCTCTGTCGGCACCCGCTTCACGCCAGGCTTTCCCCTCTGTCCTGTGTTCGGCGGGGTCCCTCGCTCTCAGGTCTCGGATGACTCCCAAACCACCCTCTGCAGCTCAGACCTTCAACACTTCTCTCTAGATACAACCTTCAGAGCTCAACTCGGACAGCCCGTCCTCCTCTTTCTCAATTCTCCTCAACCCTGAGCCTTCGCCCAAGCTGGCTCTTCCTCCTGGGCTCTCGTTGGCATGACCACTGAAGCCGTTGCCCAAGCTAAACTACACACACGCGCGTTTATTATGGAAAAAACAACATATATTAAGAAGTAGCGAGAACAGCTATTCTCAATTCCCAGATTTAATAATGATCAAGACAATCAGTCTTGTTGCATAGACTGCTTCCCTTTCTCTGGTTCTTTGAAAGGAATCCCAGGTGTAGGTATCATTTTGCCTGCAAGCATTTCCACTGTGGTTGTTAGGTGCCATCGGGTCAGTTCCGACCCACAGCGACCCTGTGCACAACAGAACGAGACACCACCTGGCCCCGCGCCACCTTCACACCTGCTAAGTCTGAGCACACTGTCTCGGCCACGGTGGGCTTTGGGGATCTCTCTGGCTCTCTTCTCTCTCTCATTGCTAACTTAAGTTGGCGACACTTTATTTGGAAGACGCCCCTAGCTGTCAAGGTCACAACCGTGTTCCGTATCATGGCACGCACAGCCTTCTCTGGCCCCTGCCATGCTTCCAGCTACACCGACGATGCCGCCAACTCAGAGCAGCCGAGACTCGGCTGCGCACGTGGTTCCTGCTGCCTCGCTGTCCCTCTCCTCTCCCTTCTTCCCGGCTACCTTACTAGTTCAAGCTCAGGTCAGCAGCCAGTTCTTGGAGAAACCTTCATTGTCTTTCCCTGGTGATGAGGGCACGAGTCATTTCTGTCCTATGCGCATTGCCCTCCCCTATACTTGCATACTCGGCCATCTGTCCTAATGGGACTATGAACTCTAGGTTGTGAGGGCAGGACTAACAGACTAACATCTCACCCCACCCCACCCCCATATACCTAGCACCTAGTCCAGGGCCCGGGACAAGGGAGATCTCATATATTTGTAGAATGAATGAGTGAGTCGACACATTCTTGATCAACAGAAGTAAATGAAAAGATGAAATGACAGGTAAAAGGTTAGGGTAAGGCCTGGGGAGAGGTGAGGGACAAAGAATTGGCAGCGTTTCAAGCTTGGGGGCCCGTGGAATGGTAATTGCACGGACAGCCGGAGCAGCAGCAGCCTGGACAGCCACTGGGCCGGTGGGAAGCAAGAGTGAATTCCAACATGCAATGCGGGCTCAGGGGACTGGAGTGCAGGACACAGGCAGGGCCCAGTGACCGATGAACAACAGAGAGATGAAGGAACGTGTTCACAGCTCAGCTGAAGGGAGCATTAGCCTGGTAAAGAAGGGGTTGTCAGGTGAGTAAATGACATGCTATGGAGCACTAAGCAATGGAATAGAATCCAAGAGGGAGCTGCGAGGGCTAGTCTGTGCTCGCAGGGTACGCAAGTGGGCTCTGTACCTGTTGTCAGTGGGATGTGTAGGGGCGCGGATGGCAATGCCTGTGAGTGAGTGTGCTGGAATTGTTTCTACTAGAACTACATCTGTTCATATGCTAAAGGAGCTAACACATAGAGCATTCAAGTCTTGGTGTATAACCATCCACTTATCATCATCACACGTGGCCTTTGGTACACCGGGGTCTTTTTCAACTTTCGTCCTCTGTCCCAGAAGACCCATATTTGCTCATCGTCTTGCACACACGATGGAAATGTCTAGCCCTCGCACTGGTAAGGGATCACAGCAGGAGCCCTGGGCCGTGGACTCGTGAAGGAGGAGGGGAGGCTGAGGTTGAACCTGCAGATGCACTGTCTGAGGGAGGCAGTGCCAGTGAGGCTGAGGAGACGCTGGGAGCTCAGGGGGAGGAGTGAGCAGAAGCAGTCCTCAGGCAGAGAGGCCAGGAGAGGGCTATGGAACAAGAGGCTGGGGCCGAGCGTGCCAGAGAAACAGAGATGTTGGGCAGTATGGATGCCGAGGCGGCCCCTGACGCTGGTCAGGAGAGGGGCACCATGAGGGAGTGGGCAACAGGGGCGCGCAGTTGTTTTCACAAAGTCCCGGGTTTTAGGGACTTCCAAATAGGTGACCTGAGGGTGTTGGAAGGCAGAGGGCCTTCTCAGTAGAGGGAAAGAATGGCTTTCAGAGGCCCGATGCGGGGAGGGGAAGAACAATAGTCCTTGTCTTGACAGAAGGACGAGTCAGCGCACTCAGATACAGCAGGTGAGGATACAAGGGTAGGGTGGGTGTATAGGTGGGTGTTCAGGAATCTCCTAACAAACAGACTCTTAGCCATTCCTTCCAAACCCCACGCTCCCTCCTCCTCTCCGGGTCTAGAGTCAGGTCTAGAGAAATCCAGGAGCCCCAATCCTTTTACCGTCACAGTCTTTTGTCAGAGGGGAGAGGCAACAACAACGACCACGACATCAGGACCACGAGTCTTGCTCCACAGTTGCACTGTCCAATAGGCATGATTTCATTCTAAATGAACTAAAATAAAAGCCTCTTCCTCGGTGCCACAAGCCACATTACAAGTGCTTGGTGGCCACCACACTGAGCAGTCTGGTGGCTCCCATCGTCGCAAAGTTCTGCTCCACAGGACTGCTCAGAAGTCTCAGTGGGACCCCACCGCTTATTCTAGCTTAAGGATGGGCAGCTCCGTCAACCTTACAAAAAGCTCACTCTTCAGCCCCAGATATGGAATCACGCAGGCCCTGGGAGGAAGCCGGTCTCTAGACGGAGCACAAGTAGCTCAGCTCTACACGAGCTGGGCTTCCTTCCTTCCAGCTCCAAGGAGGTCGACAGGCTCGTGCCCTCTGTTCAGCCTGCTCGGGAGCAAATGAAGTCACGAACAAGCAAGGTCTCTGCTGACCTCAGACTCTAGCAGCCTCCCGCCTGCTGCCCTGCAAGCAGATGACGGTCTCCACAAGCCCGGCTCTCGGGCTGCTCTGCTCGCCTAGGACACGTTAGCCTGACGTCTCTGCCTCCACGTGACAGACACAAGCACTTGTCCAGATACCTCATTACCCAGGGAAGTTCGTCAGACATTCTAGGCCAACATCCACGGGTTTGGGAGAAGTGGAGAACGACAAAGTTGGAGAAGACCCCCGAAGCTCCTTGCCCATTGGGCAGCCGTGACCGCGGACTTTTATCTCTATGGCGCTGGGCAGCGGCCCTGGATGGCAGCCCAGAGTTAAACACCAGGCTCTAAACGAGCTCCGATTGGTTCCGTCCTGGCAGACGGAAAGACCGGAAGCAGAGCGACCGAATGTCTTGTGTGGCGGACGAGGACCTGAGTAGGGCGCAGGCATGGCAACCCGTAAAAAGAGGGCCACCTACCCAGCCCCAGCTCAGCGGGGGCTGTCATCTTTGAGTGGGGCACCGTTGTATCTTCCACTGAACACGGTCAAAATCCACCACCCAAGAGATCTGTGTTTTGTGCAGTACATACGCTGGCCTTGTTCCCGCCGGCCATGACCGCACCGTTTCAAAGAGGTACAAAGCCCCGAGTCAGAAGTGCATCTCTAAGACATGCTTGTGCAAAACCAGGCGGTTCCAACTGAACTGCATTCCCGGGGAACGTTCCTGCGCTTCTCTGCTTGGCTGCTGAGTTTTGTCCTTCCCCAAGACGGCATTCCTTTTATAGAAAGCATCGTGCAGGG